GCGAGCTTGAATGGGGAGTGGCCATGCTGCTAGGGAAGGAGAGTGGGCTCAGGGCAAAGGCCCAAGAAGAACCCAGCAGGACAGCCCAGGAGAAGAGCGATACTCAGAGACCCAGTGCAGCTATCGGAGGATGACGGGATGGTCCGCACTACTTCCTGAGTCTATTTTTTGACGTTGGCCCCCCAGTCCTTAGAGGCCAGGTGCAGACACCTTGGTTTTCAGGTTGGGTATGAAGTCCTATGTGTCCAAAGCCTTGGGAGCCCTTGGGTCTTCCCCAAAGGACCCATTCGTTCCACCCAGGAAAGTGGCTTCCTTCACCTCAGCTCCTAAGCTCTCGGAGGTGGACGGGGAATGGGAAGGGATGGTCCCATGACAACAAGGCAGGAAGCCAGACAAACCAGGGAGCAGCCTTCCACCCGGCTGCCGACCGAGTCAGGAGCCCCCAGTCTCAAGGCAACATGGTCCCCTCCTCGGCCTTTACATCAGGTCACTGCCAAGGATGGCGGCATCCCCGAGGGGGGCCACAATGGGCCTCAGTGTGGTTGGAGCTGGGAAAGCGGGAAGTCCCACTCCCAGAGAAGATGTCATTGCACTCTCGAGAGGGCGGGGCTGCCTCTGGCCGCCAAGGCATAATGGACAAGCCCCGTGGGTGTTATAATGTGGCATTCATCTCCCCCACTGTGCTGAGAGGGCACAGGCTGGGACAATCCAGACTCTGTCTGCAGGTCCTCCGGGGGGCTCAGGAAGATGAATAAGAGTGGTCTCACCTCCTCAAGGCTGCTTCATATTCATGGGCTGGGCTGACGACCCCCGGGAACCACTATCCCACGAACAGATGACGGGAAAAGAGGCATGGCTGTGCCGAGTCACACTGGGGTGGGGTAGGGGCGGGGCATGAGGGAGAACACTCAAGGGAGGCAGAGAATTCGGAGACCCCAGGAAGTACCCCCAAATGCGTTAGCCATCTGAGGTGGCTCACCCCTCCTTGGCCTGCTGATGGGATATGACACCTGGCCTGAGTTCAGGGAGCCCCCGAAGAAGTCCTGCATGCTCAGCTGAGTTCCAGAAGCAACCCCATCTGTGCGGCGTCCTACTGTGCATGGGGACCAGCAGTCCCCGCCCCTGGCTTGCTCCAGCCAGCTCGGCTTGGTAGATTTCCCCCGAGGTTCCATGAGGGAATTGCTGGTGCCAGAGAGGCCTAGGGCACAGGCTGCGTCCCCTCACTCCTTACACAGACCCTTCCATGGGTTCTCTCTACCCACCACTCTCAGCAACAAATCCTTATCCCTGCAGGGGGTCCTGGGGCCAAGACACTGACTCTGTAGAGGGAAATCTGGAGCCGGAAGTGGACATCTCTGCCAAGTTTCTTCAAAATCGAGGAGAGACTGGCTGCCCAGAGCCCACAAGTACCACCGCGTTGAAACCTGGGATTGATTCGAGGCGCACCCATCCTGTCAATGTTTCCGCCCCCTGGGGCTCAGTCCTTAGACAACATAAACACAAGGGCACACTCAGAGCGCCACGGATCCCTGCGCGGGAGCCTGCAGCTGTCTACCGGCTCGTGCGGAGCCACTGCCCGGCCGCAGGCTGGTGTCCAGCGCACGCGGAGCCTTACCTGCTTGTCCGACATGATGAACAGCTCCTCGTGGTCTTTGGAGAAGGCCATATCCCGGAGGACAGGGCCCGAGTCCACCACCTGCACCGTCTCGTACTGGTGGGCTTTGCCGCTGGGCCCATCGACGCGGATCTGAGGAGGAGAAGAGGCAGAGGGGAGCCCAGGTGAGTTCGGACGCTGCATCATCCAATGGTCAGCCCCTGAAGTCAAGTCGAGGAAGGGAGCTCAGAGCCCAAGGGCGGGAGAACGCACCCTCGTCATCGGGGAAGGAGGGTTGGCGTAGGGAACGGCTCGCCAGAGGAGAGGACGCTGACCAAGGGGGCTTCACCCACCCTCACTTATCCTCCTGCCGCCTGCTCAGCCCTTGGCATCTCACTCCTAGCTCTTTGGAGGAGGGAAGGGGCTGGCATTCGGGGGAGAGTGGCATGGGTGAGCAGCGGACCGCTGAGGTAGACTTAGCGACTGCTGAAAGGCAAGACTTCTTGCTGCATTTGTTAGCAAGCTGTTTATTAGCCATGAGTCTAAGACCGATACGGCCACTGTCATTTCAGAGATTTCGAAAGCAAGCTAAAACAAACGAGCATTTGTTAGCGGAAGGAAATGTAGACGGCCGACCCTTGGAAATAGCTGCCAAGATGCCACTGTGGTCCCAGGCTGGGAGCCAGGCAAAGAGCCAGCCCCAGGAGTTGTGCGCCACCAGGTCTCTTTTGGGCCATGGAACCCCTTGGCGGATACATGCTGTCTGGGAGGAGATGTTGGATGCTCAGGTGTCCTGGGCATTCTAGTCAAGTCCCCAGGGAAGAGGAGGCGGCATCCCAAGAACAGGTGCTTCAGACAGGAGACATGCTGAAACATAGGACAATGCTTGGTGGACAGATCGTTCCTGGGTCATCTGCAGACCCTTCCTCGAATGGGGGCTTGGATGGTGCCAGGGTCCTGGGAATGAGTTTGACGCACACACTCCTGAAGACTGAGGACCTATCTCGACCACATAGGGCTTTCCAACTCTCACTGATGTCCCTGGAGCCAGTGGGTGCTGTCCTTGCCCCTGGAGCCATCACCAGTCTCAGCACATAGCGCCAACGTAACCTTTGCCTGAGTGCTAAGCATCTCCCACGGAAGCAGAAACCATCGTCCAGAAACGTAGGGACGCTGACTGGGGGAGGGGTGTGCGGGATTACCAAACCAGGTTAGACGCCATTAGCGTAAGACGAATACGTCCAGTGTGATTTTAATAGCAAACTGAAACAAACCAAAGCAGTTACATTCCGAACGTTTCCACCATGCACCCTTATTTTTTTCAAGTCTTATGATTTAATATTTAACCTCTCGTGACATCAAGGAGAATAAAATGGTTAGCCAGAGGAACTATGTTCCAGGCAAGACGGCACTGCACGGGCAAGGCAACGGGCCCCTTCAGGTCACCTGAACGTGGGCCTCCTCTCTTTCTGCTGAAGTCACTCACCTGTGACCCCAGGCTATGTTGGATTTCAGGTTTGCTCGTATCTGGTTTGTTTCCCCTTTGAACGCTCTTTTTAGGCCTTTCTGAGAATCCGGGGGAGAAAGTGTGGCCCATCATTCTGCATTCATGCAACTCTCTCTGTCCAACGGCTTCAGGTTCACTGGGTACCCCTTGCATGATCTCTTCAGCGTCCACCCTCCCCCGGGCCAGTCCCTGATGGGCACCAGTGAGCCAGCATCCATGGCCCCTCTTTCTGTGGGATCAGCTGAAGGCAAACCAACACCAACCAACGCAGCGCTGGTCCCCAGCCACAATGGCCGGTTGGGGGGATGCACTCAAGGTCGAGCAGAGACTTTGGTTTTTTGGTGGAGTGAGAGATCCCTGTCCTCAGTCATCGCAAACACCAACCCGGCTGTGGCGGCAACTCCAACAGCTGCCGAACCCATGTGTATCCAGATAGAAGCGTGTTCCGTCGGGCTTTCGAAGGCTGCTCTTCCCCAGAAACCAATTGCTGGGGATGTTTTCCCAAGTGTCATGGCACCATCGAAGGTCCCTTCTTCCTCAGCAGGGACAAAGATGCACAGCTCAGGGACCTGTTGGCAGTCCTTTGGTGGCCAAGAGGGGAGCGAAACAGGGAAGGCCAAGGGCAGAGATGGAGACCAAGGCTCTGCGATGACGCACTTGAGCCAATAGCCGACTCCAGCCTCTTCCTCACTATTGACGAGAGACACGGAACATCCTGACTGTTATAGCAATGACAGGTGAGGACAGGAGAAGGCTGGGGCATCAAATGACTAGCCTGAGCTTCAGGACAAAGTGCAGGGCCAGAATTAGAAGCTCCGCTGAACGCTGAAGTCTGTGCTTTTCCAAACACCCCCCTGACACCCACACCCCCACTCCAACACACACCCAGGAGACCTGAGAGAGCGTCTTCCTGGTGGAATCTCCCAATCCCTCCTGCGCAGTTCCCTTGGAGGGAGAAGGCTGAGTTCAAGGTTGGTTGCAGGTCCCTACGATTTCGGAGCCTTGGCCACTCATTCCGGACCTTGATGTGCACACACCTGAGCTTAGCAAGTGTTTATTAAACAAATGAAGGCCTACACAAATGAGGTTAGCACTCCTCTTTGCCGGCTCCCCACTAAACTCATTAAAAAAATAAAAAGGCAAAAGAATTAAAGGAGGAGAGGCAAACTTAGCCCTGGACAGAAACATGTCTTAAATTCCAGTAGCCCTCCTTCTCCTGTGCCCACCCCTAAGCCACCAGATGTCCACCCTGCCCAGGTCCTTTCTTAATCTCGATGAAATTGGGAGTTCGCACAAAACCAATTGGGATTACCACCCAAGTCTGACCAGCGGTGATGGGCTTGGCCCCCAGCCCAGTGGAGCTTCAGCCCCAGCTGTGTGTCGGCTCACGAGACTGATACTGAGAGTCCCGGCTGGTGTCCAGATACTGCCGGCTGGTGGCAGGGGCCAACTCCCCTAGGGAACGGTAGCGGAACTAAGTCCCATCCAACACCCCTTGGTCTGATCCCCAAGAGAAATTGGATTCAATGCCTGAGCACCCCCAACTTCTCTGCTCTTTAGCATGAAGCTGACGTGTTGGGTGCAGGTGGCCAGCAGAGGAAGTTGGGTAATCTGGGGTCAGAGGCAGGTGTGGTCAGGGGATCCCATTGGGATATAATTTCATAGGCCGGCCTTCCCCAGGGAAGCTGGAGGGGCTACAGAGTGGAGACAAGTAATTTGAAAGGTAGGCCTCTCCCTATCCCCACAACCTCCACGTTGTTCCAGGAACCAGGAAGGAAAGTGTTCCTGGATACTGCTGTCGAAAGACTCGTTCACCCTGCAGAGGGCTAAAAGGAGTTGGGGTGGGGGCGGGTTTTGCTACCTGTTTGGCAATCGTTCATAAAATCCAGATACTCTCTGCCAGCTCGTGGGTCCTACGATAGACAACAGTGACACGGTGCTCTGGACAGGTGCCTTCGCATGGGTTCCAACTCACAGCCGCCTACCTACAAACCACAAAACAAAACATTTCCCCATCGTGCACCCCGTCCTCACAATTCCTGTTAGACTTGAGCCCATTGCTGCAGCCACTGGGTCAGTCCACCTTGTCACGACTCTTCTTCCTCTTCACTACCCCTCTGTTCTCCCATGGATGATGTCCTTGTTCAGGGACTGGTCTCACCTGATAACACAGCCACAACAGGTGCCGCCAAGTCTCATCATTCTGGGTTCTAAGGAGCATTCTGGTTGGACTGCTTCCAAGATAGATGTGTGTTTGTTCTTCTGGTAGCCTGAGGTACTCTCAGTAGTCTTTGTCCATGCCACGATTAAAATGTCAAGATCCTGTTTCAGGCTCCCCTATTCAGCGGCCAGCTTTTGCATGCATATGAAGTGACTGAAGCTACTCAGGCCTAGGTCAAGCAGACTTGAATCCTCCAAGTGCCAACCTTGATCTTTGACACGTTAAAGAGGTCTTGGGCAGCAGATATGCCCCAGAGATGCTGTTTATGGACTGGCCACATGATGCTCAACATGTTAGATGTGTGTTTTTTAATTTAAATTTCGTGGTTACATAATAATAACAATAATATTGCCGCCCTTCTCCATTTATAGGTGAGGCCCAAGAGGGTTTAAGTCCCTTGTTGTAGGACATAGAGCTAAGGGGCTTTATGTAAAGCCTTGGCCCATATCAAAGTCTGACTGACTCTGGTGTCAAGGTTTTTATACGTTTATACTAGACAATGTTCTCCTGTTGCATGGGATACTACTGGCCACATGGGCATGCATCCCCCCACCCCCAGGGGAATCCACAAGGTTGGGGTTAAATTCAGATCCCCTCCAGGTGGGGGAAGTGAAGTTTTTACAACACTTTCATAAGAGAGAAATGTACACGCAGCTACAGATGATGTTGCTGTAAATTTTCCAAATAACCATCACTTCCAGTTCTGTTTCATACCTTGCAAAGCATCCTTAAGTAACACTGTCTCATCCGCTGGCTGTAAAATGTTTATGATGTTCACTGTCAGCGTGATCATTCTTATCACAGAGATGGAGACACAGAAATTGACGCCCGGACGTGCGCTGTCCAAGCTCAACGAGGCACCAGTGAGAGGACTGGTCTCCCAGGTCTCTCAGTCCTGAACACAGCGCTTGGTTCTCAACTATTCATATTTTATTTTTGCCAGAAGCCCCTGACAAGGTTCCACATCAAAAGGTACTTGAAAATAACGAGTCTCTGAAGGGCTTCCGGCAGGCAGTTTGGTCTGGGAGAAGGAACGGACTCTGAGACAGAAAAAGGCTAAGTCGAGGTATGAAGGGGAGGTTTTCTCAAGCAGGCGTCTCACACGACTACTCCTATTTAAGGAATTTCATAAACGGTCTGGAGAAGGGATCAGGGAAACGTGCGGCTGAGTCTCAGCTCCCTGGGACAGCGAGAAGCCACACCATGGTGCTAAAGTGGCGGGAGAAGGTGCATCCTCGGGGCAGGATAGAGGTGGAGGTGGCGGAGGAGCTGCACTGGTATAAGCACATATACCACTGGGAGTCTCTTGAAGACAGAGACCACACAGCCCTTCAGCCCTGGGTCCCCACGCCCCGGCGTGGTACCCAGTAAATACCCAGTACCTGTCGCCCTCGAATCAACTCAGACGTGGTGGGCTAGAGTGGG